ATCCTTACAGATATAAAAGAAAAAATATAATTTTTTTGTAAAAATTAAATATATTTTGATATTTATATATTAATTATTTTTATTATAATAAAAATATATTTTTAAATAAAACGGACGTAAATGCTAAAATACATTGATTTGAATTAGAACAAGAAAGCATATTATTGGTTTTAATTTTGAAATCACAACTAAATTCTTGATTATATCTTCAATTTTTAACATGAAATTATCTTATACTAAGTTTTTATTTTTATTTTTCTCTTAAATACACAAATATATGCATATATCCGAATTTTTCTATTTTTACCAATTAATTTATGTTCATTGTTTATAAATATATATATTATTTATATTATATAAAAAGATTTTCTCTACAAATGACATTCAAATAAATATAAATGTAGGGTGTGTTTCGTTCCATAATAGCTAGTACGGTGGTGTAAGGGTTGGACTTGTGACCTCGACTCCTCAGCTGATGTTTGTTTACTACACACCTTTTGTTGACACGCTAAAATCTTTGAAATTTTTGACCAACATATTCTTTTGAAGTATAGTATTAAAAGTTAATTGACATTTTTTTAGGAAAAAAAAAAGAAAAAAAAAACTAACATTTTTTAAATCGATTTAACATAAAATTTAAATTTAAATAATATTTTATAAAAAATAATATACTTTATTAAAAATTATGTTGAATAATTGATTTTTATTTAATATAAAAAACAAACACACATAATACAAACACATATGTTGTACCCCCACTCTGCCCCTTCAAAATTTCCTGTGCTACGCTGTGAGTAGTATTTATATAATAAATAATTAATTAATACTTCATCTGTCCCATGTAATATGAGTGTATTACTGTAAACACGAAAATTTAGATAAAATATAATTAGCAAGTAATTAAAAAGTGTATTAGTAAAAATAATTATTATTTAGTAAATATAATTATAAATTAAGATTAAGATAAGTAAATAGTTTAATTAAAATTAAGAAAATTATAAAATTTAAAATTTAAAATGCGATTAAAGTGCATAATTATATTTTCAAAAATAGAAAGGACAAGTTATGTGTGACGGACGAAAATAGAAAATAGGGACAAATTATGTGGGACGGAGTGAGTAATACATTTAGGAATAATACTCCCTCCGTCCATTTACAAGGGTTACATTTACTTTTGGCGCAGTGTTTAAGAAATAATAGTATTTTAATTAGAGTGAGCAGTTAAAAATAATGTAATGACATTTTTGCCCTTACTTTTTTATGTAAAAGTAATAATGTGATATAAAGTAAGGATATTTATGGAAAAAAATAGGGTATTTAATGAAATATAAATTTTGTAATTGAACGTTCCAAAATATAAATATGTAAACTTTGTAAGCGGACGGAAGAATTAATAGACAAGCGTATATATCCAGTCAATAGATACGACGAATAATCAATTTATGGATAATGATAATGAATGTCGAATTTTCTAAAATAATTTAAATATATATTTAATATGATGGTCCATGATTGTAAAACGAGTCTTTGCTGGTAGCCTGGTAGGATTCAATTTGACCACTACAAATTCCTTTTTACAAAAATAATCTTTATTTTAGAATATAACTTTGAGAAAAAAAAAAAGGTTTGAATTTTATAAGAATATAAATTTGAGGAAGAAAAAAGGTTTGAATTTTGTATCAGATTAATATTTGATCAAATATTTAATTGAAAAAAAAGTAAATATATATATATTTTTTGAAAAATATATAATTTAAATAGTAAATTAAAAACAATGACAAAAGAAAGACTCTTAGTATTTATAATTATAAATTTTGTAAATATAAAAATTATAAATTTATTATTCTAGTATATAATATTTTACTACTTTCGTCTCACAACAGAGTATCATGAGTTTTTTGTTTATTACAAAGACAAAAATATCTCTATTAATCTCTTATAATACAAATACAATGACATTTGTAGAGTACATTATACAAATATAAAAATATTAATAATGTTTAGTACAATGACGAGTAATAAAATATTAATATGTTAAATACAATGATACAAAAGACAAATAATATCCTTATTATAAGAAGGAGATTATTATATATATTTTTATCAACTTCTATTATTATATATCCGATTTTTTGAATAATAATTTTTTTTTTAAAAAAAAAATTGTGTAAATTATGAACAATAAACCGTGTAAACTATAAACACAACGATCGCACTAATAATTTTTTAATAAAATTTTTTAAAAATATTTTTCAAAAAAATTAATACTACACATTTTTTATTTTTATATTACATACATAATTTTCATACCTTGTATAAAAAATATCAAAATACAAAACAAACACATTCAATACCATTTTTGATTGGTTTAGACCTAATATATTTTTATTTTCAAAAAAAGACAAAACCCTATCTATCTATTAGTTTGGTTTTGATTTCAAATTAAAATAATAATTTAAATTTTGATTTAAATAATATTTTAATATAATATTTATAAAAAAAAAATATAATATATTTTATTAAAAATCATACGAAATAAATAATAAAATTTTTATTTTGAAATGAAAAACAATATTTCAAACTATTTTGATCAATATTCACTAAAAATTCTTTAAAATACACTCCATTGTCTCCTAATGGGTCTTATTTATAATACATGCGAAAATTTAACAAGATCATAATAAATAATTAGAAAATTATATTAATAAAAATAATTATAAATTAAAATTAAAATACTTAAATAATTTAATTAACAATAAAAAATTAATATATTATGAAATTTAAAATGTAATTAAACTATATAATTATTTTTTAAAAAAATAATAGATAAATTATGTGAGATAAATCAAAATAAAAATAGATGGACACTTTTTATATAGAAGTGAAGAAATAGCAACATTATTCATTTGGTATAGTTCCAATAATAATAAAAGTATATTCCATTTAATAGAATGATTTCGGCGTGGCCTAAAATCGGAAGTGATCTTAGAAACCAATCGTTCATCATATCGTATTATCATACCGCTGTCGTAACTTGAGGCTTATGGTTGACAGATATTGCACACCATCATTTAGTTATTGCAATTATGTTCCTGATAGCCGCTCACATGTATAGGACCACTCTCATCTCAAACAAAGTACTCTATCCGTCGTTCAAATCTATTCACACTTTCATTTTTTGGCTGTCATCCAAATTTATTGTCATTTCCTATTTTAGTAAAAAAATACCACTTTTCTTTTAAAAAAAAAGTAAAAATTTCTATTTTTACATATTTTTTTTAAAACCCGTGCCCGGTCAAATGAGCACACAGTTGAATGACAGAGAGAGTAATATATATGTACTATACTTATATAATATATATGAGATACATATATACATATATTATATACTCCCTCCGTCCACAAAATAAGTATACATTTACTTTTGGCGCGGAGATTAAGAAATAATAGTATTTTAATTATAGTGGGTAGGTAAAAGTAGTGAAATGACATTTTTGTCCTTACTTTTTTGGTATAAAAGTAATGATGTGATGTAAAATAGGGGTATTTGTGAAAAAAATAGGGTATTTAATGAAATAGTTATTTTGTAATTGGACGTCCTAAAATAAAAATATGTATATTTTCTAGCTGGATGGAGAGAGTATTATATATATATATATTAGGGGCTGGACAGAAACATTATATCCAATAAGGTACACTAAATCCAAAATATACTCATATTTCATAAGTATTTCCTTTCGTCCATCAATTTATTTAATCATTTCTTTATATTCCTACGTATTGCCTATTATAAATAAAATAATAATATTCGTTAATTTAAATAATAAAAATAATTATTCAAGCATTTCATTTTTTCTATTACCAATTGGACACAATTTGAAAAAAAATAAAAAGCTTGTTTACTTTTTCTTTTTGTTGAATTTGATTTTGATATTAAATATGAAAAATTATGGTTGTTTTTTTTTCCAGCACAAAACATTAAGTGAGTCTTTGGTACATGAATATGATTACAAAAACTACATATAAATTTATTCATTTTATTTGTCTTTCCATGAGATTTAAAAATTAAAAAATATAAGTTTTACTATCAATTCTCTAATATATATATATATATGGAAAATTGAAGGAAATTAAATTTGTAGAAATATATATACTCTATCCATCCCAACTATCCCTCGTTCTTTTACCCAAAAGTCTTCGAAAAAATTAATATAGTATACATAATAATTATTTTTATATTACCTGCACATTCTTTATACTTCGTATAAAAATATTCTTTCAAACCAAAACTAAAAACAAACACATCTTTTATTATTTTTGTCTGTCTAAAAATATTATTTTCTTATTATTATAAAGATAATCCATATATAAATGCAAGATGCGTATTTGTATAAAAATATTCATTTCCTTTGTACTTACAAGACAAAAATATCTTATATATTTCTATTAATAAATAAAATATTATTATTTTTTTATCTTCTAAAAAAAAATACATTGAGTTGAAATATTAATATAACACACTCATTATTTTTATATTACCTACCCATTTTTCCATATCTCACATTAAAAAATACTCATTCAAATTATCTTACAAAACAAACACACAATTTATCTAAAATTATTTTCATTCAACATCAAACAATGAAAGTAGAAAAATCTTCTTTGTTATGTCTTTCGAGAAATTTTTTCCTCCTATCTCCTTCAGCCACAACGTGAGGAATTTTACATATAGATGGTAAAATTTTATGATGAACATATTATTATTATTATTATTGATTAATGCATTTTTTTTGACAATTTTTTTTTTAAATTTATATTAATATAATTATTAATATTCAAAGATAACCCATAAAAAGTAAATCAAACTCGTCTCTACTAATTCCCTGTAATCATTTTTCTCTATTTCCATAAGCTTCTTTTCCACCCTAAACTTCTTTAAAGAAAAGAAAGGAAGAAAAAAAAAAAAAAAAAGAGTAAAATTCATCTAAAACACTAAACTCTAATAATTTTGACTGTCCATAAAATTTCATTTAAAAACAGCACATCAAACATCATTCTTTCTCAATAAAAATATGATATCGGAAACGATTTTACCTATAAAAAAAACATGAAAGCCAAAATATACGAAAACAATCACGTATAAACACAAACCTAATCCGGGCATGAGATGGTTAACATAGCAAGCACAGATATACGATCATTTCAAAGTAATTCGGAACATACCTTCAGTGACAATAAAACAACATGTCCAATAGTTTCCGATTACCAAAACAACAATGGAATTCGCCTCATTCATCCTCCCTCTCCGGAGGGAGCCCGCACGGCATAAGCATTTTCTGCATATGCAATGTAAAGGGTGTCGAAAAATTAGCAATTTCTATACAGTGAGCTACTAACTATGCATCCTAAATCTGAAAAGAGAATATAAAATGTACATCACAACCTTAGAATGATAATTCAATAAAATAAACAAAAAAAGAATGGAGGCTAATTTTAGATGGCATGATAAATTTTTGCTGTACCAATCCCATAACATATACTCCCCGATTATCATATTGAACTCTATTAATTTTAATAAGATAAATGGAGATTATCGGATGTCACACAAATGATGCAATAACTTATAATGAAAATAATCGACACAGGGAAGCTGTTATAATAAAGAACATATATAGGTATGGCCTCAGGTTGATTTACAGGTAACAATTGGAGCAGGCAAGGCAGTGTTGGAACTGCTGGCAATCGGACTAAGAAAACAATTGTGCATAATAGTAAATTCATATATTATAACTTGTTATGTGTCCAGAAAACAATCAATAACTAAATGAAAAACCATAAAAGAACTATACGCAAGCGAAATTTAACCTAAGAGCATCTCCACATAGGCGTTCAAGTGACAATAAGTGAACAAAATGGATTGTCTAAACAGTATTTAAGGATCACTTGGACAACAAATATCAGGCATTGGATATATAATCCGCAAATAGGATGTTGTGCAATTACAATGTCAAGAGACCATTCCAGTATCCAAGCAAATGACCAACTAAATCATACCATACCATGCAATCAATCAAGCCAAAAAAAGTAGGTTATAGCTAACAGACAAGATTATGTCATTTGACACACAATCAAAGTTAAAAGTTACAAAAGACTACGAAATGAAACAACCATTCCACTCATTCTTATCAACTAATTTGTATGATTCACAAAAAGAAAAGAATTACTTCCCCAATAATTCATAACATCCTGTGGCGTTTTCCAAAGAGGCGCTTCATAAATAATCTATATTCTCTTGAATGTATTGAAGACAATCATAATAGGCATCAGATTTTTACTCGAGGAATGCCACATCATTTGCAACATAATTCAGTCAATAACACTAATCATATCGTCTCAATAGATTTATTACTTCACAAGTCACAGGGTAGAATATGGTTCAGTAACAAGCGATTATCTTATCAAATTGACTCGATGCTCAACTTGAAAAACAATCTATTCAAGCTCAATTTAAAGTAATTCAACTCAGTTTTCACATCAAACTCTTTTTCTCGAAAAGATTCAAGCCACATGACAAGTATTACAAACATATATGAGCTCAGCCTCAGCTCGTCGAAATCTATAACACATTGTACTGAGTTCACATACGAGAAAATGAGAACACAATTTAGTCATAATCTGCTCAATCTCAACTTGAATCTGTCTCACCCCTGAATTCATACTAAAAACACACATGTATATACAGCAAAATTCAAACCTGCATAAAATTGTAGCGTTCTCTCCCAACAGATCCGTTCTCAGCTACAGCAAAGTATGCCAAAATGGGGTAATGACCAATATAAGATGCATAGCTATCTCGGTGAATATTCAGAGCCCATTCACTGTGGAAGAATTTTTCGAAAGGAAAAAACAAAAGATTAACAAAAGAAAAAACTACAAAGCAGTTCAAGAATAAAAAACATCAACACAGAGTGTTTACAATCGTGTCAAATCGGCATGCCCTGTGCCCACATATTTAGCCTGCAGATGCTCGAGCTGGGAGTTTATGTTAAACCTATCACTCGCCTGCAACAATCCAATTCAAACAACCAAAAACCGTAAGGCACACCGAAAATCCAAAATACAGAAAATTAGGGTTTAAGGTTTGATTCAAGTTACCTGCATGTTCACGGTCGAATGGAAGTCGAAAACTCAGAATAAATTGCGAGAAAACCTCAAATCTCTACAAAATTGGACGAAAAATCATGGATCAGATCAATGAGGGATGGTTAACTAACCCGCTGAGTTCATCTAATTGAAAAGAACAAAACAAACTGGGAAATGCTCTAAAATCCTTAAACTCACTTCTCTTCAAGCCATAACACAATAAATAACAAGTTCAAATTGAAAAAATATATATATATATATATCACCGCAGAAATCAAAATTGGCATAATTATTCCAATGGAATTCGACGGCGGAGAATATAATTTAAAATTATATCAAACCTGAGATACTGATTCTCAACCGGCGGCAGCAGAAGGGAGAGAAGATGGAAAAGAAGACGGAGGGAGAAGAAGTAGGAACAAGAAAGAAGGGTCGCAGCGGGTAGGGTTAAAATATATCGACGGCGAAGACCATATCCGACCCGCCCCTTGGGTTATTCCAACCTCTCAAGTCTCATCCGAGAGGATTTATTTTTTAATATTTTTACTTTATTATTTATACAATAAATTATTTTTTATATTTATATTTTAATTTTATAATTTAAATTAATTTTTATATTGTATTTACTATATTTAAACAAAATAATATTATATATTTTTATTTTTATTTTATATAAATATAATAAGAACTAAAATTCTAATTCATTTAATTTAAAAATATTTATTATTTTTTTACAATCAAATAATTTTAAAAAAATCATAAATATAATTTATAGATATACTAATACTATATTAAAATTATTTTATGAAGAATATATTAAAATATTTGGTGTTATTTATAAAATTTTAAAATTATCAAAAATATTTTTTTTTCAATTTTTATTATTTATTATATTTAACGTTAAAAATATAGGTACATCTTAATAATATTTTAAGCAAATACTTGTATTTGTCTTATACCCACTAATACTGAGGGTTTTTTTTTTTTCCTTCTTAATTTGTATCTACGTGTAAATATAATATGTATATTCAAAGTTTGATGCACAAAAATTAAATGAATATTTAGTTATAGAATAGAGGTAGTATATAAATACTTTCTTCGTCCTTCCTTAGTGTATATATTTTTTTATTTTTCTAACAGTTCAGCGTAAATGTATATATTTTTCCTTTTAATAATTATAATTTCACTATTTTTTTATAAATATTTATATTATATTATCATTTTTTTAATCAAAAAATAAAAAAAATTATTTAAATTATTTTAATTAAAATACTATTATTTTTTAAATTTTACACCAAAATAAACATATACTTTAGCATAATATAAATAGAATATATTTTAATCTTAAAAATATTAGTAAATTGTAAATGTGTTATGCAGCATTCCTGCAGACTGACATTTATCATCCTAGAATATTAAATTAATCAGTGTGAAAAAATAAAAATAAAATTGTTGAAATAGTTGTTACATTGACCCTATATCAGTGACATTTGAAATTTTAATTAATTATTTTTCTTTTTATAAATATTAGTAGTATAAAAAAATACCATGTGACTTCCACTTAAATTGTTTCATTTTACTTAGCCACGAAATTTTAGTATTTAGATATTATGTAATTAGTAAGTAATTAAAAAATATATTAGTAAAAATAATTATAATTTAATAAAATAATTATAAATTAAGATTAAAATAAATAAATATTTTAATTAAAATAAAAAAATTATAAATTAGATATTTTAAAATATTATTAAAGTATATAATTATATTTCTAAAAAAATGACAAATTATGTGGACATACGTAAATAGAAAAAATTGACAAATTAAGTAGGACGGAGAATTATAATATATACATTTATATATATTGGCGTGGATCTCATATTGATCTAGTCAAATTAACATTATACCGATTTGATCGGATCATGTTATAAAAGTAAACAAGATACATTTTTAAATAAACATAGTATATACTATATTATGTAGTATATTGCAAAATGCATAAAAAAAAATATTTGTTTACCTATATTATACTCCTTTCGCACGTCATATTTAACTCATTTGAGATAGACACGAGAATTAAAAAAATAAATATTTTATTAAAAAATAAAAAAATAAAAAAAATTAAAAATATTTTTGAAAATTTAATTAATAATTAAATAGAATAAAAAATACAATAAATTTAATGATATTTATTATAAATAAATATTAAAAATAATAATTAAATAAATAAATAATACTTTAAAACCGAACTGATATAATATATAATATTTTAATAATACAATATTTAATACTTCCTTAATAGTTGATACACTTTTCATGCTATCCCAATTGACACATAAATTTATTTATTTTAAATATATTAACGTATATAAAAATTAATTTAATTAAATTTTTAATATTTTATGTGATTAACTTAAAACTCCTTATTTCTATTATCTCTTCAATATATAAATATTTTTATTTATATTTAAAATTTTCTATTTTTTTTATCAAATTAGTTTATATTAATCGTAAATAATAATACTTTTTATTTATTTATTTGTATTATATAAAATTTTATTATTTATAAAATAATATTCATATTGTATACATCATCTGTACCATCCTAAAATATTATTTGGAGTTTTTTCAATATATTAGATAATAATACTTCTTTTGTCCCATTTCAAATGTGTCATTTATTATTTTTTTTAATACTTGATTAAAAAATAGTACTCTCCATTCCTTGTCTTGTTTTTTTTTTTTTTTTTTTGTCTGTCTGTCTCAAAATAATTGTCTTGTTTTTTTATTTAGTAATCGCGGTCTTCACTTTATAGCAAAATTATTTTTACTTTTCCAAACTACAAATAATTATTACTCTAACTTACTTTTTAAAATCCATAAAAAAATAAGGGCATTTTAGTTTTTTACATTTTACTTTATACAAACTTTTAATTAAATACTAGTATTATTACTTAATTCCTGTGTCAATACCCAACAAGACGTTTCTAACATTTTATTAGTTAGTGAAAATGTATAAGATGATTTAATATTTTTGTCTTTGTAAAGTATAAATAAAGCAGTACTCCCTCCGTACACTTATAACGTATACATTTTTGTCTTTGTAAAGTACACATATAGTAATACTCCCTCCGTACACTTGTAAGAGTATTTGTGGAAAAAAAAAAAGGTATTTAATGAAATATTTATTTTGTAATTGGACGTCCCAAAATAAAAATATGTATATTTTCTAGCTGGACGGAGGGAGTAATATTTTTGTAATGGTGTAAAAGTAAGAGGTTGTTTGGTTTATGGACTTTTTTTTACGGGATTGAGATTTCACAATAGAATTTATATGCGATGAGATTTATTATATTTAGAATTTGAAATTCTATCATATATTTGGTTGGTAAGATTATGTGGAATTTATATTTCTCAAATTTGATTTATTTTTCATATTAGTGGAAGAATTTGGATTTTTTATATTCTAATTGACATAATTATCCTCGTATGAATTTGATAAATTAAACTTCAATTTATTATTAATATAAATTAATAATGTATCAATAATATATAGGGATAGATGACAATAAGTCCAGCTAAACACGAGACCCGACTCAAACCTGACCTATTTATTTGAAATTTGGTCCAATTGTAGAGTATTGAGTTTGGGTATGGGTTCGGATCATGTTTGGGGTATTCTAATCGGATCCGAATCGGGTCTAGGGTCTAAAGGCGAACCCGGACTCCATTTATAATAATAACAAGTGAAAAATTCGTGCGATGCACGATCTTTTTATATTATTTTTTATTAATCGAATATTTTTATATATATTTTTTTGTCATTGTTAAATTTTTATTAAAAGAATATATTCAGAATTTTCTCTTAAAGGTTAAAAATTAGAATTTATGTAATCAATAGTGACGTAATTAATATATATAATAACGAATTTATTTTTTGAATTCTAATTTAAACTAACTATTTAATTTTAAAATGAATGGACGTATATATTTCATATAAGTAATCATACACTAATATCAAAAGATTTTTAATTTTTACCTAAATTACAAATATAGTATTACACATAATTATTTTACAAGAGCAAAAATATGAAAATCTCTTAACATTCCTACTCACTACTAAAATACTATTTCCAACTGTCTCAATTCAAAGTACTATTTTATCAATTTTATTTGTCTCACTCAAAAATATTTATTTTTTATTATAGTCAAGACACTTTATATATAAATATTAAAATACTCTTGTGGGTTGTTTGGTTCAAGGATTTGATATGACTTGAGTGGATTTATAAATTGTACAGAATCTATGCATAGTTTAATTGATTTTATTTATTGATTTATATGGATTTTGATAGATTTGATTGGATTATTTATTAATTTCCCTGGACTTCATTAGACTTTATAAATTTGTAAATTAAATATTTTTTTATTGATTTATATAATTTTAAATATATGCAGTACACTTGTATGTATATAAAAAATTTCAAATATTTAACAAAAATATTAAAAGTACATTAGTTCTAAAAAAAAATATTTATTATTATTCTCACTTTTATTTTATTTTATTAATAATAATATTTTTAAATTTATATTTTTTGTGAAAGTATAATTTTGATCAGATTTATTATATTACATATATTCAGCGTAATTAATTTTTATTTTGTAACAATCTATTTAATTGTTATTATTATTATTTATATGAATTTTTAAACAAAAAAATATATTTATAAATAAAATCACATTAAAATTACAATTTTTATTAATTAAAATTAAAAATAAAATAATTAAAAAGGAATAAACATAAACTAACATTGTCAAATATAATCGGTAATTTTTGAACTGTCGAAACTGAAATCAAAATAAGAAAATATAAATTAAATTATGGAAAATTTAATTTTGATTTGACATTTTCAAACATTAAAACTGATAATTTTAATTCGAACTATCCAAGCAAATTTATTTGTTATCTTATATATATATATATATAATTTTGAATATTGTTTCAAATATATGAAAAGTTAAAATATTTGTAATTTTATATTAAACATTTAAATTTTCTTATCTTAATATTATTATAATAAAATAATAAATAGTTATTAATATAATAAATAAAATTATATGTATTTTTTTATTAATTTTGAGAATCAATTGAAATTTCACATGAGATTCTATAGAGTGTAATTTGTTAATAATTTTATTAAAAAATCCAACAAAATCCATGGATTTTTAAAATTCATGGATTGTTGAATACACCAAAATTTTAAAAAGACTTTTTAAAATCTGAATTGAATACACCCAAATTTTAAAAGACTTTTAAAAGTGTGGATTGAATACACCAAAATTTTAAAAGACTTTTTAAAATTTAGATTGAATACACCCAGATTTTGAGAGTCCAATGAAATCCAATAAAATCCATATTGAATGCACCCTCTTAAAATGCTGAGATTTATAAAAATGGTCCAAAATCCTACGGACGAGGGATTTTTAAGTAATGGGTTACCCAGTTA